GCTTCGTGAACGCTTCGTGAAGCTTCGTGAACGCTTCGTGAACGCTTCGTGAACGCTTCGTGAAGCTTCGTGAACGCTTCGTGAACGCTCGGACTTTTGGAGTTTTCGTGTCAGAACAGCGATTAAGAACGTATGAAGGTCATGGACCTGTGAAGGTCGTTGACAACTTTAAAACGCCATCCAACTCAAGATGGCCGCCACAGACTGAAGCACGATGCGTCATCAGAAACATGTGACCACAGTGACAGCTGAAGGGCGGCGGGCGATATGCATTCCTTCATGGGAGAACAGGCCTCTTTAAATCAAACATGTCAGATGTTTCTCGTCTTTATTCAGTTTTTATTTTTCCGTTCTCGGAGCCCCTCCTGGTCCTTTGATGTTTTAACTCCGTCTGAACTGGCGCCTCATTGCCGACATAATTAACGGTTTAATTAGCAGCGACTCTAACGAGGACAGGGGAGCGACAGGAAGCAGTTTTTAAAGACCCGCCTGTTTCAGCTCTGGTGTTTGTGGACCAGTTCCTGCTGATGGTGGTGACTGGTGGAGCGGACTGGGCGCCTCACACCCAGACGCTCGGTGTGTGCCGCACCGAGAGGAGCTCGTTCTACCTGGAAGCCAAGCAATCATCTCTCGTTATGTGGAGGTCTGGGGGGGAATCGAGCATCACGAGGAAAAGTAATTATTTTTCTCCGTTTCTCCGCAGCTGTTTGGAATTACGACTTCCTGGAAGGAGACGGTGGTCGGCGCTGAGCGGAGATGAAAGCAACAGAAACTGGAATCTGAGGCTTTTCTGCGAGTTTAGAGCTTCACAAACAACACGAGGACGTCTTCCAGCGTGGGCGAGGGCCAGCAGCGCAGCCTCCGCTCCCCGCTTCCAGTTTACGGCCGCTCTGAACGGTTTACAGCAGCTAAACTGCGGCTCCTAAAGCCCGAACATCATCCGACGCTGCATTAGAGCTCTAATCTGTTCTTTCTCTTTCTGGGAGACAGAAAGGAGCGCCTTCGTGATTAACCCACTTTACAGCAATAAATAAACGCATCAGCCAGTAATGTACACCAGATTTAATTTGAGGCGGGGGGGTAATGAAAAATAACACAATGCCGACACCAGTGGGCGCCTCAGGAATTAATTTGAATCTTCGTCCTTTCTCCTCGTCTCCAGATTGGTTTCCTGGCGGCCCACATGCCGCCGCCGTTAAAAAACAACGTTTTATTGAATTAAATTATTTATTTCCGGAGCCGCTCGTCCTCCGTGCTCGTCACATGAAGCCCATGTTGCTCTTGGTCTCCCATCGCTGCTTCGCCTCAAACCTGCGGACACGAGGACAGGAAGTTTAAATTCACGCGTCGAGACAAGACGTGAAGACGACGACGGAGAGGGACGTCCTACCCCCAGGACATCTGCTTCCTCTTCTTCTGAGCCGCCCTCACGGCCTCCTCTTCCTCCTTCTGATGGACAAAGTCCCGACAGCCGACGGCCTGAGACACTTTGACTGCCAGCTGATGAGACAGGGGACAGACAGAGAGAGACACGGGTGAACAGAGGGACAGTGAGACAAACAGCAGATAGAAAATGAGAGACAGACTGTGGGACAAATGGACAGAGAGAGACATGGAGACAGATGGACAGAGACATAAAGAAACACAGTAGTACCCTGTAAATGTAGTATAAAATATGACTATAACAAAAATACTCAGTTCTTGACTTTAGTGTTTGTCCAAAACATCTAAGGGACAAATACAAGTACACAGCAGACATTACACAGAACACACAGTACTTATACTTCACATGACCAAACTATAGAAACTACTCTCAGCAACTACCACAATGAACTATAGAAACTACTATCAGCTACTACCACACCGAACTATAGAAACCACTCTCAGCTACTACCACACTGAACTATAGAAACCACTCTCAGCTACTACCACACCAAACTATAGAAACCACTCTCAGCTACTACCACACTGAACTATAGAAACCACTTTCAGCTACTACCACACCAAACTATAGAAATCACTCTCAGCTACTACCACACCAAACTATAGAAACCACTCTCAGCTACTACCACACCGAACTAAAGAAACCACTCTCAGCTACTACCACACAGAACTAAAGAAACCACTCTCAGCTACTACCACACCAAACTATAGAAATCACTTTCAGCTACTACCACACCAAACTATAGAAACCACTCTCAGCTACAGAAACCACTCTCAGACGCACTAAGTTAGAGCCCTTTCTGTGCTGGATGAATTTGATTGGCTGTGGTGGCCATCTTAGTTAAAAATGCTTCCAAAGGTTGACACACATCCAGTGATTATTCTCTAGGCTTGAGATATTTTGCTAACAGGCATACTAATGTTTCACTTTGGGGCAGGAGGTGATAAAAACTCCACTTTAGCTCAGCTCAAAACCTTTTGTGCCAAGACAAAAGTATTCATGATGGCCGCCTAAGCAACTTAAAGGTGTCTGTATATCAGTCATTTTTAGACATTTGGATGAAACTTGGGGTGGTAGTAGCTGAGCATGATCCCCTGAAAGCAAATCAAAATGTTTTAAAGTTTCTGCAGGAACTCGTCTAGTTTTTGTTATCGTGTAAATAAATCATTAAACTACATGTTACATAGATTTTGTCTGACGCGACATTTTCAACACTTTTCCTCCTTTTTAGGAGAAACGAAGTGAAAAGAACGATTTCCACCTCAGCGAACGTTAATCCGGACTAAGCTCGCGTGTCGCGCCGTTACGAGACTTTACGAGTAATGAACTCCCATCTGGACCAGTTTAGCTACCAGACCAACATGGCTGCAAACGTTTAGCTACCAGACCAGCATGGCTGCAAACGTT